TACCTACCATTCTATTAGTAATGTGATTTCCTTTATCCGTTGAACTCACATCTCATGTAGACATTAGGGTCGAGGAACGTGAGAAACGAAATCCCAGAACAACAGTACAATCATGTGCCTTTTAATTCTTACAACAATTATCTGATTTGCATGAGAATAGTTTCTCCTCAGATCACACAACTCCTGCATAATAACAGAACCATATTTATCAATCTTCAAGTCGATGACCTGAAGCAAATTAGTGGTAGCAGTGTCAATGAGTTTTGATCAAGGAATATATGTCTATATACTTGAAGCAAACAAAACACAAATATATCCAGTTTAAGGAGTTTAGCTATCACCTCATTAATTTGACCTCAACTTCTTTGGTGCTATAGCACATGTTTTCGCCAACAAGTGTTGTGAGGTGAATGTATTGAGATCAAGTAGTTTTAGTGCCATGGATAACCGTTAATGGCCAACAATCTGGTGCAAAAACAACTCAACAAAATGTTTAGATCATACTTCTATATAGGAATTATTAAGAGGGCTATTACTATGTACTACCTGTGTATTGTGAAAAAAATGGTCAGATCATTTTACCTTTAAGGCTGCTGTAATCTGCTCTAATCTGCTATACACTCTGATAGTTTCGAATATAGTTCAGTAGGCATAAGCCCGCCGTAGTTCCCTGTCAAGAAAAAAAGTGTGTTGGCAATGGAATCTTATCAAAACTGTAAAGTAAAACACACACCACTGAAGAAATCAATCTTTAAGAAAGGAAAAATAGTACCTTAGTCAATACAGCTATCACTGAAAAGTAGTTCCCAAGTATAAGTGATGGCCAGGCCTCATTTATTTACAACGGGCCATCATATTGACAAGTAGCGGAAAATATAAATCAAGTCGCTGCCGACTCTGTATGGAGAAAATATCAGATATATCCTACTCTTATGGATTTGGAGTATCCCATATTAAGTGTAAGCGCCGTTTGCTGAAGGACTATTTGCAGAACAGAAGATTTCAATACTATGGGAATATTATATTGCATAGATGACCATCTAATTATTCGGAAATCTATAACTCTAGAAGCACGATAAATTCAAGAATATTAACACCATGCCGAATGCTGAAAACTTTTGTTGACCAATGACCACCAACATGTTTTCAGAAAATTGTGCCACAAGCAGTATATGCAAATACAATGGTAGTTTTTCAACCTGCTATGTGTATGGCACACAAGTTCATACCATTTTACTAAGCTAACAACGTTCACATAGTTCAGGCATCAAGACCGAATGGTAAAGTAACTGAAACAAAGACAAACTGAAAGGCTTCACAAAGTTCCGTTGTTAGTTTTGAACAGGAAATGATAGACAAAGAAGCTTGGAGCCTTTTGAGCCGACTAAAATTACTTAAATACTTTACCATAAGGTCCATAAGAACTTGAAATCAGGTAAATGTGGATTTGTTTTTTTCAGATGGCAGATGTGAAATTTAGTGGGAAAGAGAGCACTTAATGATAAACCAAATCATGTACATGTGAGGCCAGGCACAACACTTTCTGTAACATATCCCCACTATCTAGATTATCATACTACAAGCATTTCACAAATTGTTAAACAACCATACAAAGAAACAGAGATATGCCCCCGCACACGGTACACTCCCCTTGAGAAAACTATAAAAGGGCCTTTCCGTCCTATGTGTTGACTCGCCTAAACTAATCAGCATTAGATGAGAATTAGATGGACTGCAGGTAATCAAGGTAATTGCTTCGGAATTCAACTATGCGACGTGTGGTTGGATCACACATACTGTACCTTGTGGATATGTCAAGCGAATCATCAACTGAACATACAACAAACAGAACAACACAATTCATCTACCCACCAAAGTGACAGACATTGATCACCGAGATTGAAAAATCATCAGAGATACACACTAAAAGGGACAACAAAAACAAGCACCAATTGGCATACATATTTGACGCACCTCTGCCTTTGAACTGCATGTATGTGGCGCACACGACGCCCACCCGAAGTTTGGCGAAGTTCCTACAGACAGAGGGGAAGCAAAGAGTAAGCCCAATTTGAGCGATTTCAAGAGGAAATTCATCGTTTATTACTTTTTCTGATGGAGCGAGATTCAAAATAACAAAATCTTGCACTTACTGTGTCACGAGGTCGTGCGTGGATGCCATCCGTGGCGACCAACGCATCCACCTCCCGAAGCGCCGCGCCTGTAGCGCGCCCATGTAGGCGGCTGCATCGTAGCCCGCGTCCCCGCTGGCGTCGAGCGCGAGGGAGACGGCGAGCTCGCCCCCGCCCTCCTCCGCCAGAGAGCGCTCGCCGGCGGCGAAGGCAAGGAGCTGCTGGTCCTGGGCGGACTTGCCGGAGAGCAGGAGGAACGTGGTGGCGGCTGGGGCTCCGCCGCTGCTGCTATGCTCGGCTGCAGGAGCGGGAGCGGCGACCCGGCGCGCACATCGGTGGGGAGGCTGGCCAGCGCCGGCGGCGGCTCCAATCGGTCCTCGGCGGCGGCGGATCGTCTCGGATATCGGCGACGGCTCGTATTGGAGTAGAGATGGGATCGAGAGGAGTCGGCAATGAAGGATGGGATCGATGGAGCGTTTTTTCTGCCGGGTGTGGGGTTTTTTTGGCCTGCGTGGGGTGGGGTGGGGGTGAGGACGAAAAAAAACCAGCGAAAAAAAACCGGACGAAAATGGTGGGACGAAAATGATGGGACGAAAATAAAACCCAGAACGCGGACTACCAACTAAGACATTAAAAGTAGAGATCATATATGTTAATATCCACCATCGGTCGAGGACCCCAGGATGTGGATGCCACAGGTTCGATCCACTGCTTGGAGGCACACGCTTAAAAACAATGATATCCACTACTAGCAGTAGGTTTTTAGGTGAATCTCCTAATAGAAAACGCTATCAATACAAAGAAATCTTTTGGTCTCTCTGGTGAGATCCGTTTGCTAAACTTACTTTTTCAAGTGGTGGATGAATGCCGAGACTTTGTACACACTTTTTCTCGGTCTGGATAATGCATTTTGTTCTACAACTCTCCTTACAAAACAAGAAGATAAGAAAAACTTTTGCGATGAAATACTAAACCATTACCTCCAGTAAAGGCGGTACTTACTAAACAAACCATCTGTGGCCTCTTTGAATCACACTTTTACTATCTGTCGTTTGGTTGCCCCAGCCAAAGGAAAACAATAAGAATCTCCATAAATGATTAATTGTTCAGAACGACGCATAATTACCATAGAAACAAAGGAATGGTTTAATTTTATGATACTGCACTCGTTTAAAAATTTCTTTTCTGATCGCGTGTAAAATATTTAGTTCAGTTTTTCAATATTAATTTCAACTGTGCAAAGAAACAAGCCCTGGACAAAATCCTAACAAATATAGTCCTCTAAAGTTCTTACAAAATTCATTTGAATCGACTGAAGAGGCCCTTATGGAACCTTATGATGAGAATACATGCCAGAGATGTTGAAGGCCGGCCGGATCACATGAACATGGTCGTGACGCGTCTTTGTGTTCCCAACATATGCGTGAATTATGTCCTGAAGCATCCTGGCGTTTTGCGCAGGACAAACTTCCTTTTACACACAAAAAACCGTTTAGGTAAAGCTCGTCGGAAACGACTAAGCAAGGCTTATCCACATTTGTTTCGTGTGTGACTAGGCACCAAACCTCACAACCTTTTTCAAATCTTCTCGGGCACTTTTAACAATTAGTGTCACGGACGCCGCCCGCACCTGCAACTAGCAACGGACCTTCCCGGCTAGCTTAGCTGCGACGTCTGATACTGTTTTACAAAGACCGTTCTAAAAACTCGTTAATTTTGTGGTGAGTGGTCTGAGTTTCTTACGGTGTCGTGTTCCTCTTTGCGTGGAGGACTTGGGTGGAGCACGCGCTCACATCACACGGCGGCTTGACAACTTTATTTCCGTTCGCGTATGGGGTAAACTGGGATGGTTCACGTACAACAAAGCAGCTGGAGGGACCGTAGACCGTAGTGGTACTAGTACGTGGTGTTGCTTGTGGCGGACGCATCTTGACAACTTTCTTTCGCGTACTACGCTCGGTGCGGCCTTGTCGGAGAGCTCGCCGACGGTCGAAGGCGTCCGTCGTCGGGCGGGAAAAAATAATTCCGCCAGAGGCTTACCAACAGATCAACCACGTATGATTGGTGACACGATGGCGCGCAGCGGGGAGCGTGGCGCCGCCCGGCGAGTCTGTTAGCCGGAGAGGTGGTTTTCAGACGCGCGCACGTAGTAGTACCACGCGGTCAAGGAAGCCACGGCCAATGCGGCGGCGACCGTCGACATCGTGCCGTGCGTGCGTGTGCGTCGTGTGTATGCAGAGCGAACGTGGTAATCAAGCGCCGTTATTGTGGGCGGAGCTGTCTCTGTGTGCGCAGCACACCACATCGACCGATCCAGATCCAGTCTCACCCATTAATTAATTAAAAAAAAAGCGGGATCGAATCATATGGAATCCCGGCGTGCTCCCTCCCTCCCTCTGCGGTCCAGCGGCCAATGGGGGCCGGCCACCGGCGGTCTCCGGTGGCTCCGCCAACAGCGACCGATAAGCCCCGCTCCCCGACACGCGCCCACCGCCGGCACGTGACGGTTGCCGTCCGGGCATCACGGCTGCTGGTACCGCTACACGCCGGCCGGTGGGGCTCGGGCTCGGGGATAAGGCCGGGTGGCTGGCCACGACACCAACCTTGTGTATAAATATTCACTTACCCCCTCGGGATCCCGAATAATCGCACTCCCCACGCCGCCTCCCACTTTCCCCCACTTCCAAGGACCCGAGTGCCGCAATCCCCTTCTCCCTCCTCGCCGGAGAAGCTTTCTTCCTTCCGCAGACGGCCGGCGCTGCGATGGCGTGATATGGATCTTGTAACCGTGGACTGAGTTGATTGGATGATTGCGTTTTCTCTCGTTGCCGCGGAGCAGCAGCAGCAGCAGAGGGGGGTGGCATCAGGATGAGCTTCAGCGTTGCGGGCATGGAGAAGGAGCGCGGCGCGGCGGCGGCGGTGGAGGAGATCCGGCGCCTACCGGCGGAGGTCAACTGGGAGATGCTCGACAAGTCCCGCTTCTTCGTCCTCGGCGCCGCGCTCTTCTCCGGCGTCTCCGCCGCGCTCTACCCGGCCGTCGTCGTCAAGACGCACCTGCAGGTCGCGCCGCCCCCGCAGGCCGCCGCCGCCACCGTCAGGGCCATCCTCGGCCGCGACGGCCTCCGGGGCTTCTACCGCGGCTTCGGCGCCTCGCTGGCCGGCACCGTCCCCGCGCGCGCGCTCTACATGGCCGCGCTCGAGGCCACCAAGAGCTCCGTCGGGTCCGCGGCCGTCCGGTTCGGCGTCTCCGAGCCCGCGGCGTCGGCGGTCGCCTCGGCCGCGGCGGGGGTCTCGGCCGCCGTCGCCGCGCAGGTGGTGTGGACCCCGGTCGACGTCATCAGCCAGCGGCTGATGGTCCAGACCTCCGCCGCCTGCCGCTACGCCGGCGGCGCGGACGCGTTCCGGAAGATCCTCGCGGCCGACGGCGTCCGCGGCCTGTACCGCGGCTTCGGCCTCTCCATCATCACCTACGCGCCGTCCAACGCGGTGTGGTGGGCGTCCTACGCCATGGCGCAGCGCTTCGCGTGGCGCGTGGTGGGCGCGGACCGCTCCGAAAGCTACCCGGCCCTGATGGCCGTGCAGGGCGCCAGCGCGGCCGTGGCCGGGGGCGCGGCGGCGCTGGTGACCATGCCGCTGGACACGGTGAAGACGCGGCTGCAGGTGATGGAGACGGACGCGGCGGTGGCGCGGCCGACGCTGGGGAGCACCATGCGGGGCCTGCTCAAGGAGGGCGGGTGGGCAGCGTGCTACCGCGGTCTGGGGCCGAGGTGGGGCTCCATGTCGCTCTCCGCCGCCACAATGGTCACCACCTACGAGCTCCTCAAGCGGCTGTCGGCCAAGGAGGGCTCCCTGGGCTAGATCGACCCTTCTCACCACTACTACTACCAGTAGCGCCGTCGTTCACCAGGTGACTCGGACCAAACTGGCCCCGAAGCGAGATCGATCCGTGAAGGTGCTGCCCGGCCGGCCTCAATTAGTTAGGTTTCTTGTACATATGCTCAAGATCTTTTGCTTCATTTCTCGTTTGGGTTCGTCGATCTGGTGCTATAGAGGGATGGATGGCGAAGAACAAGCACTAGAAGGTGGGTGGGGTTTTAGGATGCCAGGTTTTGCTGGTTATGCCCATGGTGGCGGCGCCGCCGCCGCCGCCGATGATGATGATGAAAAATTAGCTGAAGTGAAAGATTTTCAGTAACTTCTTATAAACCACTACTACTACTACTACTAGTATCTGCTTCGTTATATGAATGGAAACCTTGTGTGGCTAATTCCTAACTGACTGCCCACTATGTTCATGGTCACTGTTGTGGTAGGCTGATATAGCAGCGTCATTGTCATGGCTTTGCTTCATGGAATGAGGTGACTTTTTATGTGCACCTATGGCCGCTTCTTTTCATCAGTTTCTTTGTCACTTCTCTCTCGGGGACTAGAGTTTAGGACAGCGAGTGTGCAATGGTGCCACCTCGATCAATTTCCTGATTCCTCCATGGCATGATAGCACTATACCTTTTGTCCCAAGATACGACGCTCGACAGAAAGATATTTTTTCGTTTCATCTCAGAAGAAAACCGTCCAAGTTGGTTGCTGAAGGTTGAAGAAGAACACAGCTGTAAATATCAGCCTGTGAGAAGATGGACGGGGTAGGTGGTGACGCGGGCGAGACGTGTGATCTACGATATGATAAGCAGGCGATCAGTTCTGCTCCCATAGTACAGTACCAAATTCCGTCTCCCGTCAGCTGGAGGAGAGGAATCCTGGAGAAGCAAGGAACCATCCACAAATGGCGCCAGTCGAGAGCAACGGCACAGCATTAAGAACCAATAAGCCGCGCTAATAATGCTCCGGCGTGGCGTGCGCTCCAAAGAAAATGGCAAGTCGCGTGTCAGATCAGCGCGCGAGGACGATAGGCGGGTCGCTTTATCGCCGGGGGGTGGCCGCTGCCGGCTCGGTCGGGCCCGCGCGTCCGCGTCCGGCCAGCCGTCCGCCCCGGATCGGGTCTGGTGGGGGCGGGGCCCGCCGCCGGGCAGCCAAAAGAAAAAAACTTGTCGACTCCTCTGTCTGACCGGATCCTGATTGAGGTTGAAGGGGATGATTTGATTCGCATGGCCTGATTGAGGCTGGGGATGCGATGCCTTCCTTGTTCCGTCCTCTGTTGCCCCGCGTGCTCGCGGTCTGGACACTGCACGTAGTACGTGCATCCTCCGTAGGTTTGGCGTTTTGTTCCGCTCTTTCTTTCTACCCTGCGGGAACGCCATGGCATGTGTGCGACTGTGTGCCAGCTTTTTTTTTTTGAAAAGAAGGATGACCCTCGGTCTGGAAGATGCATAGATGCAATATGCAGAGGCCGGGGGTCATCCTCCTTTTTTAAAAAAAAATGTCTCCACACTCCGTTCCTGCTAAAATTGATTGCCGTGTCTCCGTCCGTGGTGTTGTTTGGCTGGGCACTCCATCGACCAGTTCTGGAAACTTGGTGGCCGCTGGCCAGCTTTGCTGGCTGCTATAATAAAGTAGCCGCAGTGCTGCGCGGCCTGGGGAAGCTGACGCTTGTTGACATGAAGTAGTATTCACAAGCTGCGGGGAGAGCAACACTGAGACCAAGAGCGAGTCAGCACAGCATTTCTTGCAACTTTGCCCGTGACAATGTCCCTGGTCAATCGATGAGGGGTCACTCGTCACTGGGTTTCCTCTCTCCTTGGATCCGGCCAATGCAAGGACAGCAACGCAGTAGTACTCCCTGTGTTTAGAATTACTCGTCTAAAAAATGAATATATCTAGATGTATTTTAGTTGTAGATACATTCATTTTTATGACAAGTAATTCTAAACGAAGGGAGTACGTGGATGCAACACCATCAAGCATCCATCACCAACAGAACTCAACCCCCTCAAGCCTCAGCCATGTGTGTATCACTGTCCCGAAAACTCCAGCTGTTCCCCTCCATCGTGTCGACAGTCCCTAAACACATCATACACATCGTGTATTCATGTGATCGTGCCACACTCTTAAATGCCATGCTGCGTTTTCTCCTCTGCACGCTGGTGTTGATGCTTGGCCAATGCTTGTCACACACTAATTGCATGGCTTAGTAAAGCGCCACTTGTTCTTCGGTCCATTTCCATGTCCATAAGGAAATTGACTTAGGAGCTAATGCTCGTTACCTTTTGTATACTCGAGGCATGAAGACGATGACATCTATGTCGAAGGTGAGGAAGAAGAAGGTAATGGCGTTGATATTAGTGGCGAGCCATTGTTCATCGACGAGCTCACCCAAAGAGCGGAAGCACAAAAGAAGAGGAAGAGCATTCACATGGGTTCATACACACAAGATGAGGACAAGTTGATTTGCCAAGCTTGGATGGAGATTAGCCAAGATCCGAGGACCGACGCGCAACAAAAGGGCATTGTTTTTTGGACGAGAGTCCACAAAACATTCCATGAAAGAAAGATGTTTGAGCCCTACCAATTAACAAGCAACCGTGGCATCGGCTCGATTCAAAAGAGATGGTTGTTCATCCAACAAGAGTGCAACAAGTATTGTGCCGCATTTGAGAGCGTTGAAGCACGACCCGTGAGTGGTCTCGACGTTGGGGACATGGTATGCTCTCCTCTTCCTAGCCCTTTTCTTGCTACGGCCATGACACTTCGGCCGTGTATATGTTTGCATGTTCACTTGTTGTTGATCATGTGATTTAGGCATTTCAATCTTTGGAGGCATTCAAGGCCTGACACAATGACAAGCCATTCACTCTTACGCATTGTTGGACGATTATCAACAGTTGCCCTAAGTTTAAGGACCAATACCGTGAACTACAAAGGAAGAGAGGACTAAAGACGGCCAAGTACGCCGGAGGTGGAGATGGCGAGGCCTTGAAGAGGCCGAGGGGCAAGACCAACTGCAAGGTTGATGACATACATGATGCCTCATCCATGGCATTGGATGACACTTTGCATGGCATGATGTCCCAAAAGAATGTGAGGGACGAGAAGAAGCGGCAAAGCAAGGAGGAGCAAATGAAGCAATACGTAGACCTTCAAACAAAGAAGTTTGAGATGGAGGAGGCGGCCAAGAGGAGGAAGATCGACATGAAGGAGGCGGCCCGGCAAAGGTAGCTCGACATCGAGGCCGACAACGTCAAGGCCAGGCAGAGGCAGCTCGACATCGAGGCCACGAACGCCGCCACCAAAGCGAAGGAGGTGGCCCTTGCGATCATGAGCGTGGACTTGTCAAAGATGAGCGACAAGACGAGGGCCTGGTTCGAGGCCAAGCAGAAGGAGATGCTCGAAGCCGAAGGCCTGAACTAGGTCGTCCGATCGGCCGTGGCCGTTCTTTTTGGAGGCTGGCATGGGTGCCGCCCGCCCGTTGGGCCGCTGACTGTGTGCCGGCGAGAAAACATTCATTTTGGTGGCCGGCTGTGTTGCCGGCCGCTGGCTGTGTTGCCGGCGAGGACAACTATTCATTTTTAGAGGCTGGCTGTATTGCTGGCCGCTGGCTAATGCCAGCGATGGACGTGTAGGCCGCTGGTTCTGTTGCCGGCGTGATGAACCGGGGCCGCTGGCCTGAACTAGGGCTTGACATTTGAAACGTTGCTTCTGCTTTTTTAAACTAGTAAGCTTGTACGTGCAAATGCACGTCTCGACTAATATTACAAAGATATGTCAGAATTAACATGCATACAAAGGTATTTTGATCGCATTAAAAAGTACTAAAAATTAAGAAAACACTTTAACATGGCAAGCTATGCACAAAGCCAAAAAAACATAAATATCTCATTATTTCTTAATACATGTAATTAATTCTCGTACGACAACAGAAATTTTGTGTGCAACTTCATTGTCGATGAAGCTAAGTATGGTGCACCGCAAATTGCTTCCTTAGCTGGCAAACATCGTGAATGAGAATAAAAGTCATTATCTTGGGAATTTTCGCTTAGTAGAATGTAAAATCATGAAACAATGAATATTGACCCTGCAAATTGGTTGATTTAGTTCTTCCCCGTACCATGAGTGCATAAAACTAAAAGCAAAAGAATCAATATTTTGGCAATGTGCTGATACACAATTATTCACTTCTTTAGCATATCTAACAATATGAGGACACCATTTTAAGATTCTCTAGCAATGTGCTAATAAACAATCTAATGACCTACATATGTATGACGTCTCTTATAAGAACAACTGATAAACAAAGTTAGGTAGGGTTCCTTCGATTCATTCGATTTTTCAAGGATACGAATCTTAAGGATCTTTTCCCTATGGAGATGGTTTGATATTTTCCCGAAGGATTCTTTGTACTCCATTTTGGAATGTCTCTCAAAAGAACAATATATCAATTACTACATAGTTAGATATATACAGGGATCCTTCGGTTCTCAAGAGTTCCATAGGATTTTCTATGGATATGAAGCCCAAGGACCTTTTTCTGAAGTATTCTTTGTACTCTATTGGAGAAAAAATCCATCCTCTCAGACCTCTAGTTATGATTTCATCTGTTAAAATTGTTACATATGCCTAAAATGAGGGGGAGAGAGAACTGAAGAGAGACTATCCAAGTTTTTAGGCTTAACAAGGATAGGTAAAACACAATTATATGGTACCTAGGTTTTTCTTAATCCCGTATTTTGATAATCAGATAATCATGTGAATCAAAGAGACCCTAAGAAGCTTTAGGGACTTCAATTAAAAACATATGGCAGCATTCGGTCTCATCATGTGTACCACACAACTCTTTGCCTTCGAAACCCACACAAAGACACCACATAAAATGAATGGATTTGAAGGATATAATCTGTTTTTTACTTATAAAAGCATCATCAAAATCATCGTATGATTTTCCTAAAAGAGCAAAAAAGAAAGGCATA